CGGCGCCGCTCCGCGCCGCTCCGCGCCGTCGGAGCGCTCCGCGTTTAAATGCCCCCGGCGCGGCGACGTGCGCGCCGCAGGAGCCGGGGAAGCCCCGCGGGCGGCGCAGCCATTGGCTGCCGCCCCCCACGTGCCCCGGCGCTCGCTGCACCTTCGTGTCATTTTTCCTGCCGGCCCCATGGAGGAAGTGGGAAAGTTGGCGCGGCCCCGGCGGGCGCTGCGGAGCCGCTGAGGGCGGCATGAGCTCCTTCCTCGAGTACCCGGTGCTCGGCGGCGAGGCGGGGGGCTGCGCCGCCCGCGCCTACCCCGCCGACCACGGGATTACAACTTTCCAGCCGTGCGCCGTGGGCGCGGGCGGCTGCGGCGGCGAGGAGCGCTTCGTCGTGGGCCGCGCCGTGCCCGTCAGCCCCCACCACCACCCCGCGGGCCCCCAGCCCGCCGTCTACCAGCCCCACGGCACCCTGGGGGTCTCCTACTCGCACGGCGGCTGCGGCCCGACGTACGGCGGCGCCCAGGGCTTCGGCGCGCCCTACAGCCCCTACCCGCTGGGGCAGGACGCGGAGCTCGGCGCCGCCTTCCCCCCCTGCGCGCCCGCGGTTTATTCGGGGAGCCTCCCTGCCGCTGCAGCGCAGCACCCGCACCAGGGCTACGCGGGGGGCCCCGCGCCCTACGTGCACCCCCCGTACGGGCAGGAGCAGCAGAGCCTGCCGCTGGGCACCTACAACCACGGCCTGTCCCCGCTGCACGGCGGGCAGCAGGAGAGCGCGCGCCCCCCCTCCGCGGAGAGCTCGCCGCCCGCGCAGACCTTCGACTGGATGAAAGTCAAGAGGAACCCACCCAAAACAGGTGAGTGCCGTGAGGGCCAGGGAAGGGCCCGGGGTGGGGGGCTGCTCGTTTCTCTATCTGCCGTCGGGGGAGCCCGGGCGAGACAGCGCGGGTCCCCGCGCCCAGGTGTCCCCCGCGTTGGCTTTACAGGTAAAGTGGCCGCCTGGGCGCCCCGCTCGCGGTGAGAGCGGCTTGTGCCTGCCCCCCTCCCGCGCTCGTATTTCTTGCGATTCATAAAACACTTATCAAGTTTCTACTGACACTAGAGGCTGACTCCGGTTTAGCACCTCGCACTCCATCACTCACTGCCGGGGCTTCCCTCTTATCCCGAGAAGTTCTTGCTCCCTATCGCTTAGCCGGTGTGGACATATTGATTACGTCGCCTATAAATCACTTGCGCTTACTTAACGCTGCCTGTCCCCCCTTGCAGGCAAGGCTGGCGAGTACGGCTTCGTGGGGCAGCCCAACACGGTCAGGACGAATTTCACCACCAAGCAGCTCACGGAACTGGAGAAGGAGTTTCACTTCAACAAGTACCTGACCAGGGCCAGGAGGGTGGAGATCGCAGCCTCCYTGCAACTCAACGAGACACAGGTCAAGATCTGGTTCCAGAACCGGAGGATGAAGCAGAAGAAGAGGGAGAAAGAGGGGCTGCTGCCCATCTCCCCCGCCACCCCCACGGGCTGCGAGGAGAAAGCGGAGGAGTCCTCGGAGAAGTCCTGCTCGTCGCCCTGCTCGGCCTCGCCGGCCTCCTCTACCTCGGACACTCTCGCTACCTCAAACTGAGAGGCGCCGGAGTCCCCCCCCCTCCCCATCCCGGCTTGGATCCCCGGCTCCCGGGCCTCCTCCCTTCCGTAGCTCGAACCGAATTAACGCTGTTCTGTGTGTGTGTGTTGGCTGGTTGGTCTCTCCCAGAGCCCCAGTGCCCCAAAAGGGCCCCGGGCCTGGGCGCCACGAGRACTCTTCTCTCTGCTCCCCTTTTGCCGGAGGGGATGCGCTGCTCCCCCCGTAAGGGTCTCCTTCCTCCGCCGCGAGGACATTTCTTTGCATTTTCCCCCGAGAGAAAGACAGGCCGTCTAGGGTACACAACCTCCCAAAGAGATGCACTATTGGAAGTGTTTACACGACGTAYAGGACTTTCACCCTTTAATTTAATGTATTCTTTGTCAGCGTCTGTGAGTTTGTTGCTTGTAAATACTTTGTCCAAGAGATTTATCTTTTTACAGATTTTTTCTAGAAATGACGTTTAGATTATCAGGTGAAGCAGGGTGGGTGCATTCGCGAAACTGGCTCCAATTTTATATTGGGAAGACAGACGACCGTATCATGGCAAATGTGTTAAGCTCAAGCAGATACCTCAAAGAGTAGCGCTATGTCTTTTAAGTGTGACAAACAAGGCTTCAATTGCACTAGGTTTTGTAAACCTTACCCGGTGTGCTTTCCTCCCCTCCCGCCAGGCTGGGTTATATATTGCTGTCCCCAAGACTTCCCCTCGTCCTATTTTCATATTAACCCCTCCTAAAAAAAAAAAAACAAAACAAAACTCGATGTCTTTTCAACCTAATCGTAAACGTGACGACTGGCCAAATGAATGTATATTTTATGTGATTCGTGTCTGGAAGTTTGCATGCTGCACAGTGCTTTGCTGTCCTCCAGCTACACCGAGTCCCATCGGTTGTGGTGTGGGAGCTCCCTCCTTTTCTGTACAATCAGCAGAGGCTCTGAGGTTCCGGGACTGAAGGAATCCAGAGCACGATTTACGGGTCCTTATAATGTCTGTAATAAATATATTCAACTTTCAGGTATCCCTTGTGTGTGTACCTCGGCGTGACGTCACCTCGAGTCACCGGCTCCACTCGGCAGTTTGGTCGCCATTAGTTTATTCTGATGGGAACTTTCTAAGGGAGAAGGAGAGGAAGAACCTCCCAACACTACCGCTCAGATTTTATTTTATTTTATTTTATTTTATTTTATTTTATTTTATTTTATTTTATTTTATTTTATTTTATTTTATTTTATTTTATTTTATTTTATTTTNATTTTATTTTATTTTATTTTATTTTATTTTATTTTATTTTATTTTATTTTATTTTATTTTATTTTATTTTATTTTATTTTATTTTATTTTATTTTATTTCTTTTCATTTCATTTCATTTCTTTTCATTTCTTTTAATTTCTTTTCATTTCATTTCATTTCATTTACTTTCATTTCATTTATTTTCATTTTCATTTTCATTTTCATTTTCATTTTCATTTTCATTTTATTTCATTTCATTCTGGGCTCCGAGTTGGGGATGTCCAGTCTGATTCCACAACACACACTTCCTTCCTTTTCTAATGCTCGAATCTTAATAACTTTAGAAAACAAAAGCCCTCCCCTCCCCTCTCACTGTAGCAGAGAGGAATTTATGATGCAGATCTATTTTTGAAGCACACACACGAGAACTTCCTGGGTCAAGTGCTAACCTTTTCACCCCGAGATGGATGCTGACACTTTTATAAACAGAGCCCAATTCAAAAGCAGAGACTGTCTTCGGCCAGTCTTTCCTCACGTCGCCGGCCCCTCGCTCAGGGCTGCGCATTTAATTAGCCTGGGCACCAAGCTGGTCCTCCTTCCCTCTCCTTCTTTCCAAGCTGCTACTCCCAGGCCTGATGGGTTGGAAAGGTGGGAGGTGGTTCCCAGGTGCCTGGTAGTGAGTTTCTGGCAAGCTGCCTTTTTTCTTTTTCTTCTTCTTTTTTTTTTTTTTTTTTTTTTCCCCAGAAACCGAGCAAGTCCTGGCAAGTAAAAATCAGCCATTCCCAAGAAGTGTCAAATGAGCATCGGGGCGGGGAGGCGGGTGCGTGAAGAGCCCAGGTCCCAGGACAGAGAATAGACACGTTCAGCTGCTCGAGGAGGTCTCGAGCGGCTGCCGCCTCTCGAATTTCARCAACAACAAAATCCAAATCCATAGCCCAAAATAAACAAACAAACAGAACCCATAACGCACTCTAACATCTCCTTTCCCCGGCACAGCTGCAGGGGAGCGTCCCCCTGCTTTCCCCGCGGCCCGGCTGCCTATGGAGGCTCCGCTTGGCGGGATGCACCGAGAGTCACCGGCGTTTTCTGCACTTCAGTGTCAAAAGAGACAAGCCGAGATTTGCAAGGCACGGCGGCCATATCAAGGGCCGGACTATCTTGCAAAGGAGCGGGGCTGTCTCCAAAGGCTCCCGCGAATGCCTCGATTTCTTTCATTTCCCCCGCCTGCCATATATACTTTACCTTTTGTTTATTAGTGTAAAGCCACAAAGCAAAACAGATGGCCTTCTTCCAGAGACTTAGATGTGTTAAAGTGGCATTTGCATGCCAATGAGGGCATTTCAATATCGAAATCTGGATCTAAACATCGCCGGAATTCGGATCTGCAACTCGGCTCCCCCGATGTTGACCTAATGTGTTAGAAACAGCAGCCATAAATTATAGCCTAAATGCGAGAGACAAGACACTTGTCAGTGCGTCAATCTGCGGTGAGCGATTCATCGGCAAAGAATCTCCTCTCCTTCCAAGCCGAAACCTCCGTTTATCTTTTTCGCAGCTCAAACCCGCTTATCCCGGCTCATTTTGTTATTGTCATTATTATTTCGATAGGATCGAGCTCTCAGGTTAGGGAGTGTCGGGGGAAGGAATGAGCGTTTCTAGTTGCTCCACGCGTGAGAGTTTCCAACACAAAAAATATCGCTAAGGATCAGAGAGTGCTTTGGACTGACGGAGAGCCTCATTTGCACTTTGCAGGGATTCTCTGTTTCATGCACTATTTTTTTTTCTATTTCTCTCCACAGTCTCAGGAGAAAAAAAAATAAAGAAAAAAAGGAAAGAGGAAAAGAAAAGGAAAAAAAAAAATCACAAACCAAACTGTGTCCAATTGTGGAGTGGAGTTTAGCATCTTCCTAACATACTTAAGGCCATTTCAGCTGTTCACCTTTAAAGTTTACTTTTGGAGGCTATTGAGATGCTTTGGTGTTTTCCTCTGGGGCAATCAGATTGAAACCGATCAATATTTACTCAGTCTGAAAGGGCTGTTGAAAAGGCAGCTAACAACAAACTGCTTAGCTGCTCTCCCCTCTTTAATCTCAGGTTCACCGAAAGTTCAAGCAGAAATGAATTCAGTGATGGGTCACTTTAGAATAAGTCCCGGTGGTTAATCTGGGAGCCTTGGTAAAGGCAACAATTACAGAGCCATCCCTCTCGTCGTCTCCCCGAGAGCCGCTAATTTCTTCTCTCTCTCTCTCTCTCTCTCTCTCTCTCTCTCTTTTTTTTTCCCCTCACTTTTTTTTTTTTTATTTTTATTATTATTTCTTTTTCTCAATATTAGCTAAAGCTTTAGCGCTTTGCGCTCTGCTTTGCATACCTCCGCGCACCCGGAGCCGCCACAAGCGCGGGTGCCACACACGAGCGTGGATAACCCACATGGGGCACCCTCGGGACCCCCTCGCAGGGCCGCCAGCAGTGCCAGGGAGRCGCGGGGGCGGATCGGAACCTTGGGGCAACGTCCTCCTCTCCATCCTTTGCGGGAAAGGGTGGGAAGAGCAACGTGGACGAAAAGCGACGGGCATCGCTGCTAACTGCGGGGACTCCTTAGGGCCCAAGTTCGCGCTGTCGTTGCATAAATGCATGTTCAGCGGGGAGGTTTTAGCACCTCTCTAATGGCATAGAGAGGTCTGGGCTATAAAATCGCCGTTTTCCCCAGCAAATCGCTTCGCGGGGCGGCGGCCACGACAGGCTCTGCGCTCCCGACCCTCGGCGCTGGTCGCGGGTCGCCCGCGGAGCCCCCGACGGGCAGGGGCTCGGYTCCGCCGCCAGCCGCCGATGCGGGTTTTTATCTGAGGGACTGGGGAGATAAACGTCGTTCCAGATTTTTTTCCCTCCATTTAAGTGTAGGAACGACATTTCGTGTTTGTTTTCTCTGGCAATTAGCTCCACACGATCTCAGTAAATAGGTTACTATACAACGGCAAAACATAAATTATTAATCGTTATTATTTAACAGAATAACAATATAACATATCAAACAACATTTCTTTCTTTCTTTCTTTCTTTCTTTCTTTCTTTCTTTCTTTCTTTCTTTCTTTCTTTCTTTCTTTCTTTCTTTCTTTCTTTCTTTCTTTCTTT